ACCAATGTAGCTTACAAAGACAAAACTTACCAAAACCATTGACCAATGTAGCTTACAAAGACAAAACTTACCAAAACCATTGACCAATGTAGCTTACAAAGACAAAACTTACCAAAACCATTGACCAATGTAGCTTACAAAGACAAAACTTACCAAAACCATTGACCAATGTAGCTTACAAAGACAAAACTTACCAAAACCATTGACCAATGTAGCTTACAAAGACAAAACTTACCAAAACCATTGACCAATGTAGCTTACAAAGACAAAACTTACCAAAACCATTCACCAATGTAGCTTACAAAGACAAAACTTACCAAAACCATTCACCAATGTAGCTTACAAAGACAAAACTTACCAAAACCATTCACCAATGTAGCTTACAAAGACAAAACTTACCAAAACCATTCACCAATGTAGCTTACAAAGACAAAACTCACCAAAACCATTCACCAATGTAGCTTACAAAGACAAAACTTACCAAAACCATTGACCAATGTAGCTTACAAAGACAAAACTTACCAAAACCATTGACCAATGTAGCTTACAAAGACAAAACTCACCAAAACCATTGACCAATGTAGCTTACAAAGACAAAACTTACCAAAACCATTGACCAATGTAGCTTACAAAGACAAAACTTACCAAAACCATTGACCAATGTAGCTTACAAAGACAAAACTTACCAAAACCATTGACCAATGTAGCTTACAAAGACAAAACTTACCAAAACCATTGACCAATGTAGCTTACAAAGACAAAACTTACCAAAACCATTGACCAATGTAGCTTACAAAGACAAAACTTACCAAAACCATTGACCAATGTAGCTTACAAAGACAAAACTTACCAAAACCATTGACCAATGTAGCTTACAAAGACAAAACTTACCAAAACCATTGACCAATGTAGCTTACAAAGACAAAACTTACCAAAACCATTGACCAATGTAGCTTACAAAGACAAAACTTACCAAAACCATTGACCAATGTAGCTTACAAAGACAAAACTTACCAAAACCATTGACCAATGTAGCTTACAAAGACAAAACTTACCAAAACCATTGACCAATGTAGCTTACAAAGACAAAACTTACCAAAACCATTGACCAATGTAGCTTACAAAGACAAAACTTACCAAAACCATTGACCAATGTAGCTTACAAAGACAAAACTTACCAAAACCATTGACCAATGTAGCTTACAAAGACAAAACTTACCAAAACCATTGACCAATGTAGCTTACAAAGACAAAACTTACCAAAACCATTGACCAATGTAGCTTACAAAGACAAAACTTACCAAAACCATTGACCAATGTAGCTTACAAAGACAAAACTTACCAAAACCATTGACCAATGTAGCTTACAAAGACAAAACTTACCAAAACCATTGACCAATGTAGCTTACAAAGACAAAACTTACCAAAACCATTGACCAATGTAGCTTACAAAGACAAAACTTACCAAAACCATTGACCAATGTAGCTTACAAAGACAAAACTTACCAAAACCATTGACCAATGTAGCTTACAAAGACAAAACTTACCAAAACCATTGACCAATGTAGCTTACAAAGACAAAACTTACCAAAACCATTGACCAATGTAGCTTACAAAGACAAAACTCACCAAAACCATTCACCAATGTAGCTTACAAAGACAAAACTTACCAAAACCATTCACCAATGTAGCTTACAAAGACAAAACTTACCAAAACCATTCACCAATGTAGCTTACAAAGACAAAACTCACCCAAAATACTTACAAAAACAACCCACAAAATAAATAAAAACAACTCAGAAAAGTTTTTTTTTTAAAAAAGGAACGAATTTTTAAAACAAGACATAATATAAAACACAGACCATCAAGTCACGACACAAAGAAGACACATTATAAATCACTCAATCTACTCGCCACTCAGACAAGGTACAATATACATCACACCATCCACTCACCACTCAGACAAGGTACAATATACATCACACCATCCACTCACCACTCAGACAAGGTACAATATACATCACACCATCTACTCACCACTCAGACAAGGTACAATATAAATCACACCAACTACTCACCACTGAGACAAGGTACAATATACATCACACCATCTACTCACCACTCAGACAAGGTACAATATACATCACACCATCTACTCACCACTGAGACAAGGTACAATATACATCACACCATCTACTCGCCCCTCAGACAAGGTACAATATACATCACACCATCTACTCACCACTCAGACAAGGTATAATATACATCACACCATCTACTCACCATCCCAACATTGCAGCCGCCTCCCACCATTCGGTTATAGAAGCCGGGTTGACAGGGTTGGCTTTAAAAGTAAGGTTGCCCCCGAATTTCTTATGGAAATCTTGGAGCATTGCTGAAAATATAATAACGCATTGTAACCACGGCAGGTGTAGGTACAGCCAAAACATTTTGAAACTTTTGTAATAGATTCTAATCAAAATATAGAATAGAACTATTAAACATGTCCATTTCTAAAGTATAAAGAATGATGTAGGGGTCGACTTGAAGGTAGTATCCACTAAGTCTCTAGAAAAGAACTATGTTGAACAAGATGTTTTAAAACTTAAAAACACAATACAAGAAGATGCAAAAGACTGTCACGTTCACTAAGCTGAGTCCTTCTTATACCCTTCAAATTTGTTTTTCCATTTCGATGGCGGAGGAAAACATCAAACCGATGCATCCGTTTTATCTTCTATTTTGATATTCAAGCTCCAAGCTATGGTGTCCTGAATATTTAAATTTATCGAGTCTGGACTGCTACTAAAGAAACATTTGTTTGAATGTAATCTAGGAAAATCTTTTAATTTTCTTATTTCAAAAAAAAAAAAAAAAAAAAAGAAATACTATTAAAAAAAAACAAAAGAACGAATTTCAATCCTTACGAGTCGCCTCGTTGTCGTCCGAGAGATCCAACTGACCACTGNACAATCGTTTAATTTTCTGATTTAAAAAAAAAAAAAAAAAAAAAAGAAATACTATTAAAAAAAAACAAAAGAACGAATTTCAATCCTTACGAGTCGCCTCGTTGTCGTCCGAGAGATCCAACTGACCACTGTCCAGATAATTTTGTCGTTTGCACGTTAATCCAATTTTCTCCAAACTTTGGGAAGTTGACACCTTCAACTCCTCGAGTTTGGCCAATGTTTCCCCTGGTTCTCCAGCTATTTTCGCATTGCACGCCTTCACCTCCACCAACAGCGAATCGAATTTCTCGTTGGAAGTTTTCAGCAGTTCCTTAAGTCTGGTGTCCAGCTTCTCCTCTGTGAGCTCGCCCCTCGATATAAGCTGATTGAACGCATGGCTAGCGGAAGAGTTGTTCTTGATCAGGAGAATGCCACAGATAACGATTGTCACGATTATTAATATGATGAATAGCATACGCTTCGTAACAGCACTCAGAGCGTAACCACTAAAACATAAACAAGAAAGAAAAAAAAACATATGTTTATGTAACAGCCCAAGAGTTGTTGTTGTTTGTAATGGACTAATTCTCACAAGAAATCCAGTTACAAAGGTTGGCTGTATTATAAAACATATGTGCAGCCAAGGATCATTTCCTGAATAGCAGTGCCATGACTTAGCAACCTAGGATCCGCTTGTTGATTGGCTGCTTCATAATAACATATTTACAACCTGGGACCCGCCTGCTTACGGCTGTGCAATATAATATACTTTCATCCTAGGACCCGCCTGCTGATGGCTGTGCCATATAACATATGTACAAAGTAGAAACCACATGTCCCCCATAGCCACCAGAATGTTATTTGGAACGAAGTCGACCGCGTTTGTGGGGCTAGTGTGCAATGCCGACATTTCAGGTCTCTGAGGGGCCGTCCATAAAGTGCGTCACGCTCCAGAGGGGGGAGGGGTGTAAAAAAGTGTGACAGTTTGTGGAGGGGGGGTCAGGTCATGTGTGACGTCACACATTAATTTTTTTTAAATTGTACTTCTAATTTATTTTTCATTTTTTTAGTGGAATTTAATGGCTTTATTAAAAAAAATGTCAAAAATTGTGTGTATCATTTGAATTAGTTTCATCTCAAAATAGCATGAAATGCGTATCTCCTAAATGTGTTGTTCACGATTCATCTTGCTAGGAGCGCTAGTACGCTGTTGCGAAGCCTTGTTTTATGTATAGCCTTGCTTTCGTCTTTCCTAAAGTATTATTATTTCTATGTTGTCCGCTGCATAATTCTGTCTCAGTCCTTTTTAATTATTTAATCATTTGGTGAGGTCAAATTTCTCTAATATAATTCTTAAACTGTGTAAAAAAGATTGCAGAATCGGAAGATTATCTAAAACTTGACCTCACCTATTGTAAATGAAAAATTAGCAGATAAATGATGTGTATTATATAACTGTCTAGTCTAGGTTTAGCAATTTTTGTTTTCAAATTCAAACTAGATTGAATCTAGATCTAGTTACTGATTCAATGAATAACTGTGACAATTGT